TCCAGCGGAGTGAGGCACCACGGGGACTCAGATTAGACCTCGCCATCTCTGGGGGGCTGCGATCTGTGAAACTGTCGCCACTTTCGAGGGCTGCTGGTGGGTCCAGCGGAGTGAGGCACCACGGGGACTCAGATTAGACCTCGCCATCTCTGGGGGGCTGCGATCTGTGAAACTGTCGCCACTTTCGAGGGTTGCTGGTGGGTCCAGCGGAGTGAGGCACCACGGGGACTCAGATTAGACCTCGCCATCCCTGTGTGAAACTGTCGCCACTTTCGAGGCTGCTGGTGGGTCCAGCGGAGTGAGGCACCACGGGGACTCAGATTAGACCTCGCCACCCCTGGGCGGCTGCGATCTGTGAAACTGTCGCCACTTTCGAGGGCTGCTGGTGGGTGGCCAGCGGAGTGAGGCACCACGGGGACTCAGATTCTGACCACGAGCAATGCTCGCGTGCCCTTGCTCTGCGGTTCGTGCCACGTGGCGCTGCGACTCGAGCTGGCGGTCGTCCTTCGGACCCGCAGAAACATCTGCTGAGCTCGATGAGCTAGGGGAACTACAGGAAAGAAGTGCAGGAAACGGAGGCCGGTCATGCACTCGCCGATACCTCGTTGCTCTGTCATCGTCTTTGCTGTTGCATGATCCTTATCTGGCCTGCCGGCGCCGCGGCTCGAGCTGGCGGTCGCCCTTCGGGCCCGCGGGAACATCTTCTGAGACAAGTGGACGCCGCCGCCTTACTTGCAGGCAGCGCATTGCATTCGCGGACAGCAGCATGGCAGACCGCAGTGAGATCCTCAGTCGCGTGGTGTTGCCAAGCCTGGTGGAGACGCGCGTGATCGACCTGAAGTCCCAATCGCGCGTGCACTGTACCTGCGTGGCGTTCAGGCACGCGCGTGATGCTGCTCGCTCCGCGTTCAACCAGTACGTCGCCAGTGCAACTTTGGACGATGGACAACCGATTGATGATACGCGACCCCGGCCTTGAGTTTCTTTCCCGCGGGCCGCCCGCAGACCTGGCGGCGCGCCTGCGAGCGTTCAGCTCCCGCGCTGAAATGTGCGGGAAGGAGGCGGAGAAGCTAGCGGGCGAGCTACGCCTCGCTCGTTCCTTGCACTCTAAACAAGTTTTATCATGTGGAACTCTGCGACGACATGGCGCAGGCAGCGCTGCGGGTTTAGCTCGCACTTGAAAAACGCGGCAGTCTTCTGTCTCCTCCCGCCACTTTCATCGTCGTCCTATTCCCCGCCTCACCTTCTCCATGCATGCTGCTGCTTCCGCGATGGCCTTTCGCCCCCCCCGCCCTCCATTCCATCCCTCTCCTACCCTTCGTTCCCGTACCCGTTCTTCTTCGATCCTGGGGCCTCAAGCCTCGTTCTTTCGATCGTCGTCCTGTGAATCGTGCAACGCATGCGCATCCCATGTAGCTTGCACAGCAAATCGCCGCGTCTACACTGTCGCTGTTCCTGCTAATGTTGGCATACTCCTCTTGCCATTTGATGCACGTGGGTTGGGTACGTCGCAGGGTAATTTTGACAGGGACGGCGGGGGTGGTGGCGTAGGGCCTGCTGTGCGCAGGCCCACCAGACACAATGATGAGCAGTGGCTTTCGACCAGGATGGTGGGTGCCGAAATGTTTCCCGATGCGTGCTGTCACGTGCGCAGGCGCACCTGACACACCCTGCACATGCCGTGGACGTGGCTCACCTGGCGCGGCTGGAATATGCGGCACACCTGCCGCACGCGGAGGCACGTGGCACATCTGGCGCACCAGGCGTGCCGGGCACGCTCGGGCCCCAGGGGTGCCTGGCGCGCGTGGCGCGCCTGGCGCACCTCGCCCCAGTGTCGCGCACATGGGCTCGGTTTTGGCTCCCAGTAGCTGTGCAAAGACGGCCGCTGAACATGTTTGGGCTCGGGTGTTACTTATGTGTTGGGCCGGCGGTTGGGAGTGAGCTAGACGGCTTGTTATTTCGAGGGTGTCTTGATTACTGTTCCCTATAATATACACCCCCTCCCCGGGGCGACTGGCAGCCAACCAAGAACCATGCTCCCCCCCCCCCGCCTTCCCTATCAAAACCAATACAAAACGCACTCTGCCTCCAAATTCGGAGCATGCGCAACCAACCCGCGGGCCCCACCACCTTCCCTTTCAAAAAACAATACAAAATACACTTTAAGGCAAAGTCTGGAGTCATGTTCGTGAGGTCCGCGAGCACTTTGTATGATTTTTTGACAGGGACGGCGGTGGTAACAGCATATTGCCTGCTGTGCGCAGGGCTGCCATCCCTGACAAACCGTGATACAACATGCACCTCTCGGGTAAATCTGGATCATGCGCGGCCACCCCGCGATCATTGTCAAGTGGTTTTTGATAGGGACGGCGGGGGTGGTGGCGTAAGGCCTGCTGTGCGCAGGCCCACCAGACACAATGATGAGCAGCGGCTTTCGACCAGGATGGTGGGCGCCGAAATGTTTCTCGATGCGTGCTGTCACGTGCGCAGGCGCACCTGACACACTCTGCACATGCCCTGGACGCGGCTCACCTGGCGCGGTTGGAGTATGCGGCACACCTGCCGCACGCGGAGGCACGTGGCGCATCTGGCGTATCAGGCGTGCCGGGCACGCTCGGGCCCCAGGAATGCCTGGCGCGCGTGGCGCGCCTGGCGCGCATGGCGCACCTCGCCCCAGTGTCGCGCACATGGGCTCGGTTTTGGCTCCCAGTAGCAGTCCATCTAAAGACGACCGCTGAACATGCTGAGGCTCGGGTGTTACTTATGTGTTGGGAGGACGGGTGGGAGTGAGCTAGACGGCTTGCTATTTGCAGGTTCCTGACCCCTCCCCCTGCTCCCTCCCCTGGGCCTCGACGGGGCCAGTCGCGAGGTGTAAGAGGGTACTTTTTCGCCCAATACGGCTCCAAGAGGGCCTCAGAGAGCCCACGATGACCTCCAAGGTAGCTCCAGATAGCCTAAGATGCCTCAAGATGGCTCACAAGATGCTCCCAGAGGCCCCCAGACTGCTCCAAGACGGTTCCAAGATGCCTCCGAGACCTCCAAGGATGCCCCCAAGAGGCCAACATCCTTTAAACCACTTACGGCTAATCACTGATTTTTGCATCGTCGCCCGTTCGCTTTCGATAGCCTTCGAAGCTTCAAGATGGCTCCGAGATGGCCCAAGAGGGCCCCAAGAGAGGCCCAAGAGAGCCCCAAGACGGCCCCAATAGCGACCAAGAGCGCTCCAAGAGGGGTCCAAGAGAGGCCCAAGAGAGGACGAAGAGGCGATTTTAGGGGCTCCCGAGGGGGGAGGCTAATCTCATCTGCCCTCTGGGCGTAGGTGATCTAAGGCCGCTCCTCTTCCAACCCACTTCTTCCCCTTCGGGGAGGGGTTTGCCCCTCCACCTACCCCCTCCCGTGGACCTGGACGGGGCCAGTCGCGGGTAGTTGGAGCGCCCAAGACGGCCTCGGCGAGGAAGCCAAAATCATTGGTTTTACTACTGTTTGGGCTCCATTTCGGCCTCTTGGGGGGGCAACCCTAATTGAAGCTCCCCTCTTCTTTGATCGATTTCCTCCAAGATGGCTCCAAGAAGCGCCCAGGAGGTCCCAAGATGTCCCAAGATGGCCCCAAGAGGCCCCCAAGAGGCTCCCAAGAGGCCCCCAGGATGACCCCAAGAGGACCCCCAGCGGCCCCAAGAGGCCCACCCGAGGCACCCAAGAAGCCCAAGAGCCCCCAGAACTGCCAAGAGACCCCCAAGACGTCCCAAGAGGCCACCAAGAAGCGCCCACGAGATACCACAAGAGGCTCCGAGTGGCATCCAAGAGACCTCTGGCCCTTTTGCTCGCCCCCCTCCTGCTCCTCCGTCCTCCTCCTACTCCTTCTCTTCCTCTTCCTCCTCCTCCTTCTCCTCCCCTTCCTCCTCATCCTATTCATCCTCCTTCTCCCCAGTATCCATCCAGCCAGCCTCCTCCTCCTCCTCCTCCTCTCTCCTACGCACGGTTCGGCCGCCCTCCGCTTTGCTCCCGCACTTCACTGATCACCTCAACTCGCCTGGTCATCGTTTCTGGATGGGCTGGTGGGGATACGCGAAGCGTCTAGAATTGCGACCATCCTCTTCGTTGATCGATGTCCTCCAAGATGGCCCCAAGAGCGCCTCGAAAGCCCACAAGAGCGCCCCAAGAGGGCCCCAAGAGGCGCCAAGGAGGCCCCAAGAGGCGCCCAAGAGGCTCCCAAGCGATCCCCTTGAAGCCCCAAAAGGCTCCCCGAGGTACGCCAGAGGCCTCCGGGACCGCCGAGAGGACTCCAAGACACACCAAGAAGCTCCCAAGCTCGCCATTGTCCTTCTCCTCCTCCTCCTCCTCCTCCTCCCCTCCTCATCCGCCTATTTCTCCTCCTCCATCCTCCCTGCTCCCCCTGCCCCACCTCCTCCTCCTCCTCCTCCTCCTCCTCCTCCTCCTCCTCTTCCTCGTCCTCCTCAACTTGATCCTCCTCCTCTTCGTCCTCCTCCTCTTCCTCCTCCTCTTCCTCCTCCTCCTCCTCTTCCTCCTCCTCCTCCTCCTCCTCTCCCTCATCCCCCTCGTCTTTTTTCCTCGCCTTCCCTCACTCGGCAGGTCTGCGAAGGCGCATACGGTTCGCTCCTGGGTCTGCGCAGGCTGATCCACGACTTCAGATTGACGGCTTCCCCAACTGTTGATCCAATGCATGCTCCTCCGCTTCTCTGATCAAGGCAACTCGCCTGGGCATCATTTGTGAATGGGCTGGTGGGGATACGCAAAGCGTCAAGGATTGCGCAATTGTTGCCACTTTCGCTGGCGCCTGGGAAGTCCAGCGGAGTCGGGGACCACGCGGGTCCAGCCCAGACCTCGCTGCTCTCTGGGAGGCTACGGCATGCGCAACTGCTGCCACTGTCGAAGGCTCGAGGGAGGCACGGCGGAGGTGAGGGCAACGCAGATCGTGCATATCTGGCGATGTGTTGTTTCGTATGAAACGTTCAAGCACATTTCCGCCTCGCGTGGAGAAAGGGTTGGGTACGTCTCGGGTAATTGTTTTTGTATCTCGCACGTCTCTCGCTATGAGGTCTTCTGGCCCAGGTCTTTTGGCTCAGCGCGCTAAGCACGCGCGGCCCAAAACTCCGAAACTGCGATGTCGACCTCCTCCAGCTACGCTCCACGAAGTCGAGCAAGGACGAACACCAACACTCGCATTCGGCTGCCTCCGTCGCTGGCTGTGCTCCACACGCGACGAGCAGGAACAAAATCGGACCCACGTTCGGCTGCCTCTGTGCATGGGGCCCACGCAACGCAGCCAGGCAGGAGCAAAATCAGCACTCACACTCAACTTCCTCCGTCGCCCGCTGTATTAAGCATGCGCATATGGACGCATGCCATGAGCCATGGGGGGACCTGGTTATGTCCACTCCCCATGCCCGAAAAGATGCCACCACCAACAGGGGGCTTTCCGCGTGTGGCCCTTCTTGGCCCACGATGCCTTTGGAGGGACTGGGCCCTGGAGGCAGGAAAAAAACATCACATCGTATGTGCAGTTCGAATTGAAATTAGTGGTAGTGGTGTGGGAGATCTGCCGACCCCTGTGGGTTCATCTGCGTGTGAGATGCTCCTCAAGCCCCTCCCCTGGGAGCCTGGTCCGGTCGATTTGGAAAGGGGTCCCTGTGAATTTCCTGGTGTGAAATCGTTTTCTGGTGTGTGGTCCCGAATTCCCGATCCTATAAAGCAATCGCCATCACGTACCCGTGCACTTTTCTTTTCCGTAGCCTGTCTGGCTGAATCAGACAGCTAGCCTTTGTGGTGACTTCTTTCACTTCGGTCCGAAGCACAGGGGGACCTGTACGACACTGTACGAGCGGATTTGATACACTGTTTTTCATCTCGGTATCTTGTGATGTTTGCTGGGCGACATCTTTCGCTCTGACGAGCTCCAATCTTCTGCCGTGTCTGAATGAGGAAGACCATCGGGAGCATCATACCCATCGGTCGGAAGAAGTAGGTAGAAACATGAAGTAGGAAAACGATGAACGTATATTGGGTTCCGTCCGTCCTCTGAAGATGACGGAAAAGGGGAAACCACTCGATCTTTGAAACAGGAAGGCGCTTCAATTAGGTTGGAATCTGGGAATCCCAAAATACCTACTTTCAAAGACCGATGGTTAATACACAACGTCTCTCGACGTCAAGGGCTGAGACCGTGGACTAGTACGCTGCCGCACTGACATTGGTAGCGAGAAGTGGCAGCCCACCCCCTTCGAACATTTCGACCAATCTCCATATGCGACGGATCACTCTGCAGGCGTCAGGATACCTACTTGGAATGGAGATGCCTCGAATCTGGAGAGCTTCGAGTCCGACATCACACTAAGCAAGGTCGGCAAGGCCCTCCACGCGGTGTGCGACGGCATCCCAGCATCGGGCTTCATGCATGAATTCATCTTGGGGCTCATCCTCCTGGATGGCACCGTCCTTGACCCGTCGGAGCAAGCGGCGGTGCTCGTCACGTCCGGGGTCAAGGGCACTTCTTACCTCTACACAGACGTGAAGCATGCATTGACAGAGCAGTGGTCGAAGGAACAGCTGGCCGCTCGTGACAAACAGAAGAGGTACAAGGCTCGGAAAGGGGATCCTCGACCGAGCGGACGGGCTCGCGGCGTACGCGGAGGAGGTCTACGACGAGGCGTTCCAGGACGGTTCTGGCGAGGCCCACGACTTGACGGATACAGCGCTGACGGCCGCCGAAGACGTCATGACCGCCGCGTTCGGTGACGAGCACCAGAAAGAGACCGAACAGAAAGGAGAAGCTCTGGCGTCAAATGTGACGCCGTCACAGTAGGCGACCGACGAATGGACCGAGACTGAGTACGCGGCCTCTCGGACCTTCGCTGAGGCGCAGAAATTGATCAATGAAGTGAAGAACGCCAAAGGCTACTTCCCAATGGTCGGTCTGGGATCCTACAATGCCCTACCTTCCCAGCTGGGAAGCGATGCTGGACGCGGCCGTGCTGTGAGTCGCGGAAGTCCACCGAGGAAGAATAAGGAACAGCATCCGCTCCCTCACGGGACCCAGCGGTAGCACCACGCCTGAGCAGTACCAACCTGAAACACAAGGATGCGTGGCTTTTCTGTGGCTAGCCAGGCCATCGCACTAAGGAATGCCCTACTCGGGGTAGTGGGAGCAGCCGGACCGAAAGGAAACGCACCCTCGACAACTTCACCGGCACAGGAGAGAGCTTCCTCGGCACGGTGAGAGTGAGGAGCAGAGCGGCGAGCGCCACCAGACGAGCCAAGAGGATGACGACGCCGTGGCCTTCAGCATGAGCGAGTGCAAAGGATGTGCACTCCTGGGTAGCGGGGCCTCCCGATCGGTCGGGGGAGTCGAGCAGCTCGAGTAGATCAACAACCTCCTCCCTCCCTCCCTCCCTCCCTCCCCCCCCCTTCCCTCCCTCCCTCCCCCCCCCCCCCCCCTCTCCACCTCCCTCCCTCCCTCCCCCCCCTCCTCCCCCCCTCCCTCCTCAGCAGCCCGATGAAGGTTGATACGAGTCCAAGCCTGGGCTTTACGTTTGCAGGTGGGGATCGGGCCGACGCTCCATCGAGAGTGACGTTCGAGGTCAAGGATCTGAACGACGAGGCCATCAGCAATCACGTGCTGAATCGTCTTTCTCCAATTCTTTTTGGGATGGGAACGGTGAAGTGCTTCGGTCTGGTGATCGACTATGAGACACATGCAATATACTCACATCGACTCCAGCGTTATATTCCCGCGAGGGTGCTTCCCTCTGGGAACCTGGCGCTATGTCTGACTCCCGAGGGCCAAGGGGCCGCGAGTTCGAGCAGTGAATAGGGACAACACACTGGTCGTGAGGAAAGGACTGTGGAAAAGTCGTCATCCTCATCCATCATGACCGGGGACCCTCAGGACGCAGAGAGCTTACCCAAGGTACTCCAGCAATGAAATCAGAATCCTGATTCAACACTCGTATCGTCAACTTAGTAGTGCTATGATTTCTCATATTCTTGGGTATCTCAAGGAACGGGCCAACTCGAAAGAAGGGGTCAAAGGTAGCCGTGACACATGGATAGACTACACACATACTGCTATATGCCGTGCACATCGCCGAGTGCGTTTCCAGAATTGCGGACCTCGAGATTTTCTATAGATCAGACAAAGTCACATATTTCGGGATAACGTCGCACTTATGCTATTCGGAAATCAGGTGAACGCATCGTCATCGTCGATCGAATTCAGAACCTGAAGAACGCCCGGCAAATCGAACAACCTCGCTGGATTGGGATCTCGATTTATCCGAGAACCGTCTTGGCTCAAGCCATCCGTGAACCACGAAGCGAGAGAGGCAAAGCAGATCAGGGCAATTTCTGGCGCGGCAAACGCCGATATCTCAACCAGACTCGTCAGGGGTCGAACGCCTCCATGGAGCAGATCAAGGGCAGAGACTGCGGGGATGTCATCTTCACATGCCTGTTCGAGAAAATCAAGAACGAGCAACTCGAGGTCTGCAACCGCTCCCGGGAGCACTTCAGGAGGCTCGAGAACACAGGCTGGGCGGGACCCTTGCGGGCGCCGTCGGCGAGTCCGAACACGAGTTCAGAGAGCGCGCCGCCCAAGACCCTGGGGAACACGGTCGAGACCAGCACGAACCTGCCTCGGACTCTGACGGCGGACGCGGTCAGGAAGCTCACCGACGCAGAGGTGGAGCAGATCATCCAGTCCGAGCGCGTCAAGATCCGCCAGGGAGGAAGCGCTGGAGCAGGTCATCCAGGGCGAGCGGATCGAGATTCGCCACGGGGAGCAGGCCGAGCCGGCCGAGGAGATCGTGCAGAAGTGTCTCATCGACATCCCAGCGGACGAGCCCGAATCGCCGCAGGCAAAGGAGGACAATGTGGACGACCGGACCAGGGCCAGCAAGAGGCAGGGCATCGGCCCTCCTCCCTCGGCCTCGGCGGCGGCAGCGGCACAGGACCTCCCGGCGCCGTCGGGCAGGCCGAGGCCCGCGATGCCGCCTCCGGCAGGGGATTTGCACATGGCGTGAAGAAGTCGGTGCTGGGGCTTCTGATGGCAGCAGCAACTGCCCTGGGCGAGATGCCAGGCGCCGCGTGGGAGGCAGCCGAGACCTTCGGACGGTCGGACGTCGCAGAGGCTGCGTGCGCATCCGACTCCAGGCTCACGAATGCCAATGCTGACGGCTGGTGGCGAGGCGGAGCGCTTCAGTAACTGGAGCGGGTATGGCTTCTTTGCCCGCAGCGGCGCAAAGAAGCTCGTGAAAATACTGCGCGAAAAATGACCCCGCAAGGTCTGGTTCTCACCACCGTGTGGAACAAACTGCCCGTGGCAGAGCCTGAACCCCGTCACCGAGGACTCCGAGAAGAAGCTGCTCAAGACATGACGTATCCAGCGGAACTTTCAATGGGCCATCGATCAACTTCTGAACGAGGACTACTGCGACATCTACCTCGAGCAATCAGGGAAAAGCCGTTCATGGTCGGGCAACTTCCAGGACGTCAAGGCTCATATGAACGGTTGCACTATCCATGGGGGCATCATGTAGGACATGAGAGACGAGCCGAGCGGGGTCCTGAATCGAAAGGAGTGGTACACCGCGACCACCGACGAGCAATTCAACACGGCGGTAAGGCGAATCTGCTCAAACCTGCTCCTGCACCTGCCACCGGAAGGAGCCACCAAGGTAGCCATGTCGGCGAACTACCCACTGAACAGGTGCAGGATAATCGCGCAGCATTTCATGAAGAAGACGACCTCCGACGAGGCGCTCGCGTACCTGGTGCAGGCACACGGCGAGCAGGATGAGGGTTATCTTCACAACCCGGCGTAAGCTAGTGGGCAAACGACCCGCTCGCGAAGGGCCAGATCCTCCTGCGCATCAAAGAGACGAACCCTCGAGCCCACGGCGCCAGAGGAGCCACCGACGGCCGAAGAACCAGCTTCTGGACCAGGAGGACCACCAGTGGCAGAGGATGAGGCATCATTACCTCCATCGCCCGTTACTCCAAGGGAGACAATGGTGGGCAACCTTGGGCTCCCTGTCGAAGAGCGCCCAAGAACGCACAACAGGGAAACTCCGCGACATGGAAACAATCATCTCCCACGTCCGCCCTCATTTCGGACACTGCAGCATGCACACCGTGGGCGCTGCTCTGAAGAGCAACAAGGCCGACAAGAAGCTGATCGACCTGTACAGCCAGTCTTACAAGTGTCCGACGTGCAAGGCCGCCCAACGTTTTCAAGTCCGTCCGACCGTGAGAGGCGAGCCCTCTCTCCCTCCTCTGGGCCAAGAGATGAGTTGCAACAACTTCTGCTGGACGCATCCTAGACGGGCCTGTCAAGTACGCGGCACGAAAGGCGCGGACTATGGCAGCCGACTTACCCAGAGCGCCATCCACTGCAAGAAGGACGTGGAGGAACATTGCGGCGACACCTCGGCCAAAGAAATGAAAGGCGCAATTCTGAAATAATGGATTCATTATTACGGGAAGCCGTTAACTTTCAGGACAAATCCCGAAGGCTGTTTCCGACAAGCTGAACGCCAAGCGTGGGCAGCAGGTAATGGCATGAAGTGGGAACCTGAACCTGGTGAAGCTCACCAGCGCATGGGCGCCGTCGAGAGGTGCATCGAGACGGTCAAGGAGATCGCGACCCGCATCGCCTGGGAGCTCCCCGACGATACCGAACCCCAAGGGATCTTCAGGTGGGCCTGCGCGGCGAACAATGACCTGATGCGCCACCAGGGCTGCAATCCGATGATGCTGATGATGGGTCGCGCCCCGTCGGGGCACGGACTCGAGGCCGAAGAGAATCCATCCGTCCTCAGTGCCAACGTCGTGGACAAGCACTTCCGGGAGGTGTCGTGCAGGGGAGGAAATTCAAGAACAGAGTTGCGAAGCGCAGTGGAGTTCTGGTTGGTAGATGGAGACCGCCTGGTTCGAGCAACAACGGCACACTTGCGCATGACTGCGAAGGCGGAACAGACCATGGAGAGCATATCGGCAGGCGGCTCCCGCCACTTCGAGCAGATCTTGCAGGAGCTGGCCAAGGGAGCGTATGTCGACCTGGTGAATCAGCCTGGACCTGGAGATTGGGATGACATACCCGAAGATCAAGACTCTGCGCACTCCACGTCGCGGAGCTCGAAGTATCCGGGAGATCAGGCTGGATTTCCTGCAGGAGATGTGCAGAACCAGGAGAGGAAGAACCACTCGGAGCCGAAGAACCTCCTCCTCAACCTGAACCTCCAGACTCTGAGCCGCCACCTCAGGCTCCCGCGCCTCGATGGGACGTCGAGCCTCCACCCGAAGAGGAAGCGAGTAAAAATCCACCCGACTCTCGCGACACGAAGCAACATAAACTTCGCCGGCTACCTCGATCAGCTGAGATGGAAGCCTCTCACTCAGATCATGCCCGAGAGCGACAAGTCGGATCCAGAAGTCAACGGAATCACTGATTAGATCCCGCCGTGGAAGCCGGACCGCAAGGCCAAAAGCTCCGATGTGATAGGGTTCGCTGGCGAGGGGGAGGCAAACCTGGCGATCTTGGTGGGCTTTGCGCTGGAAGAGTCAGACGTGGACCAGCTCTACAGAAGGCCAGACACGGCCTTGGCAGCTATGGTGAAGCAAGACAAGGTCGAAGTGAAGCTCAAGGACCTCGCCGCCGGGGAAGGAGCGGAGCTCCCCATCGCGAGAGCTACTGATGTCAAGCCCTTCCTCAAGTATCGGGTGTGCGAGGCCGCTAGTCGCGCCGAATACGCCCAGGAGCTCTGATGATGATGAGCCAGGTGATCACTTGAAAAGGGACGGGAGATCTCAAAGCTCGGCTTGCCGTTCTTGGCTATACCGACCCTGGATTGGGTCAGATCTAGACGGCCTCCCCTACGTGCAGGCGTGCAGCCCGCCAGACCTTCTTGGGCGTGGCCTCCTCCATGGGCTCTCAAGTCTTCACGGGCGACGTCAAGCCGGCATTTCTTCAAGGTGATCTCGGCGAGGAAGACCGCAATGTGCTGGCCGAGCCGGTGAAGGAGCTGCGAGAACCTACGCGTCTGGAGCACCATCAATGTAACCGGCTGAAGAAAGCAATTCACGGTCTGGTAAGTGCTCCCAGAGGAGGGTGAACGCGAGTCTGGAAGGACATGGAGAAGCTCGGTCGGAAAGCGTCTACTACTGAACCATGCTTGTGTCTGCGAGATAAAGCGGAACATCTTCGAGGTTTGGCTGTGAACCACGTCGGCGACTTCATGATCGCCGTAGACACCCACTCGGACTTTGCGACGGCTGCGCTCGAACACATTCATCCAGCCTGTGAGAGGGGAAGTCGGGAGACCCAAGATTTTGTATAGTGCGGAACGCGCATAAGGCAAGAGTACGATGGCGGATCAAAGACGCGGGGTCGCATTCGGCTGAACATGGCCGACTACGCGCAGGATCTCTCGGAGATCGCCATACTAGCTCACCGACGCCGAGAGCCTGAGCAATCGGTTACCCCTTGTGAGGCGACTCGGCTTCGAGCAACATTCGGTCAACTCATGTGGCTGGCAACGCAATGAGTCCCGCTGATCTGTGCGGAGCTCTCGCTGCTGCTGGGCCACAGCAACACGGCGACGGTGAACCCGCTGCTACATGTGATACGCCGCGCGAAGGTCGAGGTAACCAAGGAGCTGATCATGGAGACGCACACAAACCCCTGTGTAGTAAGCTACTCGGACGCGGCATGGAATGTACGACGAGACGGTTCCGCACAAGGCGCATTCCGGATCTTTCCTACAGGCTACGCCCATCTGCAGAACAAGGAGGCGCCTGTATCGCTGTTGGCGTGGGCATCGTCGAAGCTAAAATGAGTGTGTCGGAGCTCGAGCGCAGCAGAAGTTCAAGCAGCGAGTGAATCGCAAGAGGAGCTGGAGTTCTGTCGCTTCCCGCTCAACCGAGGACGTGTGGGACCGCATTTACTAGGAATGCGGTTTCCGCACGGCCCGGCAGGTCCCGGTCCCCGCATGGGACCGCTGGCGCTGGCGCTGCGCCCCGGCCGGCTGCAGGGCGCGCGAGCGGGCGGCATGCGGCGGGCCGGCTTCTGGCTGGCGCTACGCCGACGCCCCGCCGGGCGGGCCTTGCGGCGCCTGCGGGGGGCCGCTGGAGGTCGAGCGCCAGAAGGCGCTGCTCGACCTGGAGCTGCAGCGCGGCGACTGCCCCCGGACGCTGGTGGACGTCCCCGTCCGCCACAGCGTTCCGGGGGGCGCACGCGCTCTCGCCGCGGCCGCGGACGGCCGAGGGGGAGGCGGACAAGCGCCGCCGCTACCCCGAGCGGCGCGCCCCCTGGCCGCTGCTCCCGCTGGCCCACGGGACGGCCGGCCGGCTCGGCAAGGCAGCGCTGAGCCACCTGCGCTGACTCGCCCGGGACCAGGCACAGGCGCTGGGCGACGGGCCGGAAGCCGAGGCGGCCGCGAGCGCCCTGGCCCGCCGCTGGGGCGCGGAGCTGAGCTGCGCGCTGCACCGTGCAACCGCGCGGCAGCTGCGCAGCTCGCTCGGCCAGGAGCGCGAGCTCGCGGCCCGGGCCGCGCTGGCGGCCGAGCTCGCCGGCTAGCGGGCCGGCCGGCGCCGCTGGGCTGCCGCCGCTGCCGGGCGTGGTGCCGCTGCTCTACACCATCGTCGCGCTGCTCTTCTTCTTCCGGAAGGTCGCCGTGGTGGTCAGGGGGTGGCATGCGTTGCGGGCAGGACCGTGTCCGCCGTGCCAGGAGGAGGAGGAGGAGGAGAGGAGGAGGAGGAGGAGGAGGAGGAGGAGGAGGAGGAGGAGGAGGAGGAGGAGGAGGAGGAGGAGGAGGAGGAGGAGCAGCAGGAGCAGGAGGAGGAGGAGGAGGAGGAGGAGGAGGAGGAGGAGGAGGAGGAGGAGGAGGAGGAGGAGGAGGAGGAGTAGAACACTCCAGCAGCCAGCGGCAGCAAGGTAGGAAGAGACCGTAGAGGAGCGCCCCCACAAGAAGGACGCGGCCTGGGGCTGTTAGGGGAGCGCGGCGCTGCACGGGCTGACGTTCTACGAAGGCTACAGTGGCAGGCGCGGGAGCAACAGCGGCAGGCGCGGGAGGTGGAGCTCAGGCAGGAGATGGCGCAGGTCGGCGGCCACGCGCAGCCGACACCGCACAGGCACGCGCACTACTCGTGAGCGGGGCGGCGCGGGCGGCGGAGTTGCTAGGAGCCACAGCTCTCCCCGCCGGATCTTTCCCCCCTCCCTTTTCCCCCTGTGCTGGACTGCCGCGGAGTACCCGATGCCCTGGGCAGGAGTCGGAGGGCAGCGCCTCGAGGGCACGGAGGACCAAGCGGAGTGCCCCCTCGAGGCGCTCGCCCTGAAGCGCGGGAGGGCCGCGGCAGCCACGGTCTTTGGGACGGTGCCACAGCGCAGCACAGCTCAGCGACTGCGTGGCGAAGAGCTCTGTGAACGCCGGGATGAGCTACCGCGCGTGGCGGCAGCGAGGCACGTCGAAGCCGATCGACGATGCGAACTTCAGGTCGGAGAGGCACAGGAAGCAACAATGCCTGAATACTTCAGAGTGTGCCTCTTTCTTCGTAGTTGACGATGCTGATGATGCTGGGGATGCTGCTGCTGCTGCTGCTGCTGATGATGATGGTGCTGCTTGGCCATTGTATCCATGCGATTTGGAGATTGTGGACTTAGACTGCGATGTCTCTCCTCACTTCCGGTTTCCAGAAGTAGGCCAGCTAATGATGCGAGACGCTACACCCAAGTAGTAGCCACTACCTCAGGAACTTTCTGTAACCACTGAGCTAGAAATGCTAGTGGCGTCCAAAGCGTGGATCGCGGTGCATCCCAAAGCGCGTGGCACGCCTGTGGGAGACCCTTGCAAAGACGCTGGAAAGGATGCCTGGGGAGCTTGCAAGCCCGAGGAAGAGAGCTTCGCAGGAGCTCCCAGGGAGCTTCGAAGGAGCTGCGGAAAGGCTTCGGGCAGGCGTCTTGGGAACCAGCAGGAAAACGCTTGCCGGAACACGCTGCAGCTTCAAGCAGCCTGCTCCGGGGATTCTGGAGCGGCGCTGGAAAGAGCTGCCGGGCCACCCAATGCTGCCCGCTTCTAATCTGAAGCCCTCTTAGCTCTCGGAGGGCTATCCGGGAGCGTAGAGCCGTCTAATCGGTTTGAGGCATGTGCATTGCCTGGTGTGAAATCGTTTTCTGGTGTGTGGTCTGAAATTCCCGATCCTGTAAGGCAGCCGCCAGTACGTGTCCTTGCCTTTCTCTTTTCCGCAGCCTGTCTGGATGAAGCAGACAGCTGGACTTCGGTCCGAAGCTCAAGGGGGCCTGTACGACACTATACGAGCGGAGTTGATACAGTGATTTCTTCTCGATGTCTTGCGCTGTTTGCTGGGTGACATCTTTCGCTCTGACGAGCTCCAAATTCGCCCATCGGGAACATCATGATACACAATATCTCTCGAAGTCAAGGGCTGAGATCCGTGGAACAGCACGCTCCACGTGCTTCTAAAACTCACCTGGCGGTCTAGAACTTTGTTTTGCGTTTTGGAACTCGCTTCGCAATTCTAAAGCCTCTTTTGGCAATTCGGAAGAACGCGTGTATATGATGCCAGCAGAGGAGCTTCCGGGGCCTCTCTTAGCACGACGGGAAGCATTCAAGATTGGAGCCCGAAGTGGCCATTCGTGCAATCGGGCGCTGTGTCCGCTTGGGGTGAGCTCGCGTGGGAGCAGCACGTCTGGCTTACCACGCTGCCGCAACTTCCCCGCAAAGGTCTGGTGGAGGAAGCTGATGGGTGGCAAAAGTTTGGGCGAAACGGCATTTTGGATCCCACCCTGTGCCCTCCACCCAAAGAACGTGCTCGGGATCAAGCCGCAGCAGGCGGGATTCGACCGGATCAGGCCAGCCATCGACCAGGGGGATCCACCAGCGCCAATCCTGAACTCGACCTCCCGAGGAGGAGGAGCAGGAGGAGCAGGAGGAGGAGGAGCAGGAGGAGGAGGAGAAGGAGGGGGAGGAGGAGGAGGAGGAGGAGGAGGAGGAGAAGAAGGAGGAGGAGGAGATGGAAGAGCAGGAGGAGGAGGAGGCGGAAGAGGCGGAGGAGGGCCAGGCAGAAGGGAAGTGCAGGCGGACGGCGGCGGAGACGCACAGGCGGGAGGACCGGGCAGGCAGGACAACGTGAGCGAGCAGGCAGGATTGGCGTTAGGTCGGGCATGTCCTCCTGCAGTTCTGTTGTTCCCATCGTACTTAAGGGCCAACTCCCAGAAACAGTTTCGAGCACACAAAAAAGGTATCGAACAATGTCGAACGATTATCGCCTCCCAGGGCCCGACACGTGAAACCCTCAAGTTTCGGTACTTTCTTGGTGCTCGACATTCTTTATCGCGATCAAGGCTAAAGTAGGTTGGAACATCATAATCCTACAGGCGGATTTGGCAAGAAAAGTCAAACATAGCTCAAATAGGTTCAATACAATCAAAGAGAGTCGAGAAATCGTCCCTGGACTATTTTTGACTATGTCCGAGTATTCCTCCTGTAGAAGGGGCACGCCCGACTTGAGACTGGCGGGCGGCTGTGCGGGGAGCCACGGGCGGCGGGGAGAAGGGGGGGGGAAGGCAAGAGCACGGGAGAGGGCGGACAGCAGGGGACGGTGGGGTGACAAGAAGAGGGTGTGGGAGCGCTCCGTCTGGTTCGGCTAAAGGGGGGTGGGGGCGTCCTTGGATCTGGGAGGGTGCAATCGAACGCTGCCAGAAGGAACTCTACACAAGGAACGAGGCACCGTTTTTCCATACATTAGAATTCGATTTCCCAGCCAAAACCTAAGAAGCACCTCAGAAAACTGTAAAACAATTGAGGGGCACTGAGCCCTCCCCTAGGCGGCGCGCACCAGGGGGTTGGGGGGAGGGGGGAAGGCTTCTTAGAAGGAAGCTGCTTCTTCGAAGGCGCCGGCCTTACATCTACAGACAAGGCCCGCGTCTTCGAAGAAGCAGGGGTGCTTCCCAGAAGCCTCCCCCCCTCTCGCCCTGCAGTGGAGGCCGGTCCCCAGGAGACCTCCCACGAGACACCCAACCCCGAGAGCTCAGGACGTCCATCCACTCTTTTGGCGTGGGAGCGTCACGCTTCCCATGGCACGGGTCTCCACTGCACCCCCCTCTGCGCGTGGCCGATCCCCAACGAAGAGGGCTCCTTCTTCCGCGGCCCGATTGCAATCCTTTAACGAAGGATTGCAAAAAACCGAAGGATTGCAAAAAACCGAAGGGTTTTTTGCAATCCTTCGGTTTTTTGCAATCCTTTGCAATCCTTCGTTTGCAATCCTTCTGCACAGCAGCAGGCCGCTGCGAGCACGGCGGCCCGCAGGAGCTCGCTCCGCCGCCCGGGCGCGCGGGAGCGCAGGCGCCCTCGGGGCACGGAGTTCCGCGTCACAGGGAGTCCAGCACCTGCAACACTGCATCGATCTCCTCCGATGGACGAGTTTTCCACCACCTCTACCATCTGTAGGACAGGGGGGAGAAGGGAGGATGAGGAGGTCCTCCTCCTCCTCCTCCTGCTCCTCCTCCTCCTCCTCCTGCTCCTCCCTCTCCTACGCATGGTCGTGGTGGTGGAAGGTGGGCCCATCATCCTCCAAAGTGTTGTAGTGCAGGAACCCGATGCGCGCCATGCCCGTGTCCGGCGTGGCCAGCCCGGCGCTGAGGTCGCCCCAGAAGCCCGCGTAATGGTTGCCCGCCGTGCACCACACGCCCCTCCTGCACAGCCGCTCCGCAAGCTCCGCCGCGGTCATGCCTCGCGGGCGGGACGTGCCTCCACATCCGCGTCCTCGCGGTCCGGACTCTTCGGCCGCGGCCCCACGGGCACAGGGCAACCTTAGGCGGCTACCCCCGCTCGGGACGTACCCCACGGGACCGCGCCTCGGCATCCGGACTGCGAGGGCACAAGTATGGACGTGTTCGTCGCTCGTGAATGCCATCTTTGGCAATCGCGAAAGTAGAGGTGCGGAAGTCCACGCGGCCGGGATCCGTGACGCCCAGGACTCTCAGGCCATGCACTCTCTCGGCGCCCTCCAGGAACCTGACCTTGAGCTCGTTCTCGTGCGCCTGGATCGCGGTCCATGCGTACCTCTGAGGGCGGCCAATCAACGTGGGGATTACGCGCGTCAGCTTTCCCTTAAGAGCAGCTGTAAGATTGCGAGCTCGAGGTGTCAGGGAGATTCGGCTCAATCCTCTCCCAAGCCTTCCCTTTTAGAGGCCTTCTAGATGGGGTCCGAGTAGATGGGGTCGAAGGATTGCGTCGCATCGCCAATGCATCGCCGATGTATCGGCGATGCATCGGCGACGTCGGCGATGCATCGAAGACGACGGCGTGGGGAAACACGGGTGCCACATCGAGCCGCATCGTCGATGCGTCGGCAATGCGGCGCGATCGTCCGACCCCATCTCCTCGGACCCCATCTAGGAGGCATCGATTATTTGTCTTCCAGATATACGTAAGAGGGCAGAGCAGCCACCCTCAGTAGAAGTGACCCCAATGGGGCGAACCCCTTCAGCAGCCGCACCCGAGGTAGGAACCGAGCGGGGCAGGACTGCTTGGCAGTTGTCCAGTGCTGCTTAGAACATGCACGTCATGGGGGTCGAGGCGGTTGCGCCTCCCTTGAAGGCATGACGTGCGGCAGGGCTGAACCTAACTGGTATTTTTCGTTTTCGTTTTGTTTTTCGTTCTTCCTCGTTTTGCCTTCGCTTCGCCTTGAATGCAAAACAGAACGAACAACAAAACGGCCCACGAGATGGCCAAAGCACCGTTTAGGTCCAGCCCTGACGTGTGGCTCCCTCCCCCTCTCTGCCCCGACCATCGATCCCTCGGCCCAGGGGGCCGCTTCCGGCCCGGGAATGGCTGCTGCCAAGCTCGCGGGGTGCAGTGCAAAACCCTGGGCGGAGCAGGCGACCGAGACCGCAAACCAATCCTTTAGGCCCGGGGCCCCCTGAACTCCCGACCCCAGCTTTCCCGCGGACTTCGCGCCACGGGCCCTTCGTTGTGTGAGTTCCGGGCCCGGAGATGGGTCTGAGGGGGCCCCAGAACCAAGACACTTTCGGCCGCCTCCTCCTCCTCCTCCTCCTCCTCCTCCTCCTCCTCCTCCTCCTCCTCCTCCTCTCTGGCTGGAAGCCGGGCCAGAGAGGGCCGTTCGGGACGACTCTGACGTCCCCAGAAGGCCCTGGGCCTGCTACGACGAGCAGCTGCGAGAAAACGTCCCGCGGTCTTCAAAGCTCAACAAGTTAACATATCATCTGGAACCTTGTGGAAGTAGCAGAAAACCGACAACGTTGCCTGAACTCCTCTGGAAACCTTCGAGTCTCCGTGCCCCTTCGTGTATCGGGCCACTCGGGGGCCCCAAGACCGCAGGAATCTTTGGAACCCATTGTACAACTGACATTTTGTCCGTCCCGCGGCCTCCATCAATCACCTGGCCAGGTTCTCGCCGCGTGTTCTTTTATGCCCCAGTGGCCCCAAGCGATTTGAAAGTCCTGATCGGTGACGCGCTAGCCCAGGTCAGCGCTGACCTGGGCCAGCCAAGGCTGCGTGGCTAGCCCTGGCTGGCCAAAGCGTAGCTCCCAAACCCGAAGTCAGCTGAGGGATGGAGGGGGGCGTCGGCTCCACATCGCACCCTAACCCCGGACAGCCACGGAATACCACAAGGATCGGCTGGCGCCCTTTCGCGCTGGCTCCCGCTGCGGCAAGTTTCTGCAGGAACAGCGCGGGCACTGGCTCTTGGCACCGCGTGCATCGCTCAACCTTGCACGATCGTGGCATTTTGACAACGCCGATCGCTCGATCCTGGCCGATTTTGGGAGACTGGCGGCCTTCAACCTTGAACTCCCGCGTCGGGGTCGCCGCCGCGTCGACGCGTCCGAAACTGCCACGCCCGCGCCCAAACCGAACTTAGGGAGAGAGACAGCCGTCGTGCCTTTTGGCGCGGCGCCTGGAAGATCCAGGCCCTCCGAAGGACCTGGCACTCTTAGCGCCCCGCCGGCTTTGGCCGCTGCGTCGGCTTCGGCCGACCCACTGCACAACGACGCCGACGACGACGAAGGCAATGACGACGACGACGACGATGACGACGCAAACGACGACGACACCGGCGCCGCTAGCGACGACGACGGCAAGGATGACGACGATGGCGACGATGACAGCGATTTCGACGGCCGACGACGAGGAAGTCGACGACGACAAGGCGGCGCCGACGACGTCTTTCGCTCGGCATCAGCTCCCTGACGCCACAGTTGCACCTTATAGGCTACACAACATCTATTGCTCCACATAGATTGCCAGGAACACGCTGTTTTGGGTCCACGCTTCGCGCAACAGTGCTTGCCCTTAATTAGGGGTTTTTACTTGGCTTAACCATCTCGGGGTGACTGGCGGCTTTCGCGGGTGGTGCCGCTCGTCGCCGCCGTCGCCGTCGCCGTCGCCGCCGCTCGGGGCGAGTGGCGGCTTTTGTGGGCGGTGCAGCCTGTCGTCGCCGTCGCCGTCGCCGCCGGTCGGGGCGAGTGGCAGCTTTTGCGGGCGGTGCCGCCCGTCGCCGCCGTCGCCGTCTCCTAGGTTCTCCTGTCTGATAATAACAAGGGGCACGCGTGCCAAGGATCATGCAATCGCGGATGCGAGACAGACGGACGTGGTTCACTTTTGGATTGCTTGCTGCTGCGCCTCCCTCAGCAAGGCAACTCGCCTGGCGGCTGCTTTGGGATGGGCTGGTTGGGATACGTGAAGCGTGAAGAGCGGGGGGGGGCACGGGGGAGAAGGCACGGAGGCCCGGGAAGAGTGGGGGGAGCACGCGGGGTAGATGGGCGCAGGGGAGGAGCGGGGGGATGGCGCACGGTCGGAATAAGGCGAGGGGGGCCCGGGGAAGGCGGGGGGTGCACGAGGGAGCATGCGCGGAAGCTCGGAGAGGGTGGGGGAAGCACGGGGGCCAGGGGAGGGGAGCGCAAGGAAGGAGCGGGGAGAGGGCGCGCGATCGGAATCATGGGAGGGGGGCCCGGGGAAGGCGGGTGGAGCACGAGAGAGAGGGCGCGGAAGCCCGGAGAGGGTGGGGGCGCGCAGGGAAGCACGGAGGCAAGGGGAGGGGTGCGCAGGGGAGGAGCGGGGGGAGGGGGCGCACGGTCGGAATAAGGGGAGGGGGGCCCGGGGGGGGGGGGGGGAGCAGGGCGGGGGGGGGAAGGCGCAGAGGCCCGGGAAAATGAAGGGAGCACCGGGGCAACGGGAGAGGGGCGCAGGGAGGAGCGGGGGGAGGGCGCACGGTCGGAATAAGGGGAGGGGGCCTCCGGGAAGATGGGGGGCACGGGGGCAAGAGGAGGGAGGCGCAGGGGAGGAGCGGGGGGAGGGCGCACGGTCGGAAAAGGGGGGGGGGATAGGGCGCGGTCGGGGGGAGGGGGGCTCGGGGGCGGCGGGGGAGCACGGAGGAGAAGGCGCGGGGGCCCGAGGGAGCACGGGGGCAAGAGGAGACAAGCGCAGGGGAGGAGCGGTGGAGGGGGGCGCACGGTCGGAATAAGGGGAGGGGGGCCCGGGGAAGGCGGGGGGAGCACGGGGGACTGGGCGGGGAGCTCGGGGGGCGTGGGGGGAGCACGGAGGCATCGGGAGAAGGGCGCAAGGGAGGGGCGGGGGGGGGGCGCACGGTCGGAATAAGGAGAAGGGGCATCCGGGCAGACGGGGGGCATGGAGGCAAGAGAAGGGGGGTGCAGGGGAGGAGCGGGGGGAGGGCGCACGGTGGGAATAGGGGGGGGGCCCGGGGAGGGCGGGGGAAGCACGGGGGGGAAGGAACGGAGGCCCGGGAAGAATGGGGGGAGCACGGGGGCAACGGTGCAGGGGAGGAACGGGGGGAGGGCGCACGGTCGGAATCAGGCTAAGGGAACTCGGGGAAGGCGGGGGGCACAGAGGCAAGAGGAGGGAGGCGCAGGGGAGGAGCGGGGGGAGGGCGCACGGTTGGAATAAAGGGAGGGGGGCCCGGGGAGGACGGTGGGAGCGTGGAAGGGAGGAGCGGGGGGAAGGCGGACGGTCGGAATAAGGGGGGAGGGGGCCTGGGGAGGGCGGTGGGAGCACGGAGGAGCAGGCGCGGGAGTCCGGGGAGCGTGGGGGGAGCACGGGTACAAGGGGAGAGGGGCGCAGGGGAGGAGCGGGATAGGAGGGACGCACGGTCGGAATACGGGGAGGGGGGCTTGGGACAGGCGGGTGGAGCGCGGGGGAGAAGGCGCGGAAGCTCGGGGAGCGTGGGGGGGAGCACGGGGCGAAGGGAGCGGGGCGAATGGGAGGAGCAGGGGGGCAGGTGCACGGATGGAATAAGGGGAGGGGGGTCGGGGAGGCGGGGGAAGCACGGGGGAGAAGGCGCGGAAGCTCGGGGAGCGTGGGGGGAGCACGGGGCGAAGGGAGCGGGGCGAATGGGAGGAGCAGGGGGGCAGGTGCACGGTTGGAATAAGGGGAGGGGGGGTCGGGGACGGCGGGGGAAGCACGGGGGAGAAGGGCGCGGGGGCGCGGGGAGGGTGGGAGGAGGACGGGGGCAAGAGGAGGGAGGCGCAGGGGAGAGCGGGGGGAGGAGGGGGGGGGCGCACGGTCGGAATAATAAGGAGTGGGGGGGGGCTCGGGGACGGCGGGGGGAGCACGACGGAGGAGAAGGCGCGGGGGCCGGGGAGCGTGGAGGGAGCACCGGGGCAAGGAGAGAGGGGCGCAGGGGAGGAGCGGCGGGGGGGCGCACGGTCGGAATAAGGAGAGGGGGGCCCGGGGAGAGCGGGGGAAGCACGGGGGAGAGGGGCGCGGGGGCGCGGGGAGGGTGGGAGGAGGACTTGGGCAAGAGGAGGGAGGCGCAGGGGGGAGGGGGGGAGGAGGGGGGGGGGCGCACGGTCGGAATAAGCAGTGGGGGGGGGCTCGGGGACCACGCAGAACCACCATCACGACGACCAGCACAACCACCAGCACGACCACCAGCACGACCAGCCACCAGCACGGCCACCAGCACCTCCACCAGCACGACCTCCAGCACAACCACCAGCACGACCATCAGCACGACCACCAGCACGACCACCAGCACCTCCATCGGCACGACCAGCCACCAGCACAACCACCAGCACGACCACCAG